TTGTTGTTTGATAATTTTCTTTTGTATTAGCTTGATTTTTCTTTTTTGTTTTTGTGACTCTGTTGTGTGCTTTTTGTGTGTGGTCAGCCTGTTTTTCAAGCATGCTAATTCTTACTGTGTCTGTTTGCTTTAGCCTGGTTATCATATAGACTCAAACACATCCTAGAAGGAATGAAAAAAATCTCCATTTTCTTGCTCTCCTTTCCAACATTTTATGATTTTGATGTCCACTTTTACATCTTCATGATTATTCTTTTACTATTCATTATGGTTATTGCATTTCCAGTTGGGGTTTTCTCTTTTCTATAGCTTCCTGTTTCTTTTCTTTTTGTAGACCTTTCAGTATTTATTTTAAGACAGTTTTAGTATTGCTGTATTCTTCTAGTTTTTGCTCGTCTGAGAAATTCTCTCTCTCTCTTTCTATTTTAAAGGATAGTCTTGCTGGGTAGAGTAGCCTAGGATGCAGGTTTTTGTCTTTCAGGGCTTTGAATATATCTTGCCACTCCCTTCTGGCCAGCAACGTTTCTGTAGAGAAATTAACTGATAGCTTTATGGGGGTTCCTTTGTAACTAACTCTTTGTTTTTCTCTTGTGTCCTTTAGAATCTTCTCTTTAACTTTGGTCATTTTAATTATAATATGTCTTGGTGTAGGTCTGTTTGGGTTCATCTTGTTTGGGACCATCTGTGCTTCCTGTACTTAGCTGTCTGCTTCCATCTTTAGGTTTGGGAAGCTTTCAGTCCTTATTTCTCCAAATATATTTTCAATCCCCTTTTCTCTTTCTTCTCCTTCTGACCCTTATTATATGTAGATTGGTACACTGTATATTATTCTATGAGTCCCTTAGATTGTTTTCATTTGTTTCTCTGTCTGCTGTTCTGATTGGGTGATTTCCATTATCCCATTTCTAAATCACCTATTTGTTTTTCTGCATTGTTTAGTCTGCAGTTGACTGCAGCTTGACTTTTATCTCTGCAATTGACTTTTCTGATTTTATTGGTTTCTCCTTATATTTTCTAATTCTTTTTTATAGTATTCTGCATGTCTGTTGATAACCTGTCTTATTTCTTTCAGTGTTTTTATCACCTCCTTTCTGAACTCAGGATCTGGTACACTGTCAAGGTCTATTTCATTGGTCATTTTTTTCAGGGGACTTCTCTTGTTCTTTTAACTGGGCGTGGTTCCTCAGCTTCTTCGTTTTACTTATATTTCTCTGACTGTATTAATTTAGGAGTAACATTATCTACAGTTCTTGAAGGGCAGAGTTTTATTATTATTATGTGGGAGCCTCCCTGTGTAGATTGAGCCTGTCCTTAATTTTTGTTGCAAGGGCTGTTTTTACTACAGACGTTGTGATGACTTTTTCCTTTAGTGAGACTGTGTTAAAATGCATGCCAGGCAGAAAGCCCCTTGGCATTTCTTCTTGGTCCTTCCTTGTAAATCTCAGAGGATTAGTAAATCCAGGGCATATTCTGCATCCCCTGCCCTCTTCTCTCACTCAAAATAATGCCTATCTTTAGATATTTTGTTTTTTGGGTATTCACTGATGATTACTTTACTTTAAGAGAATGGCTTGTGTATCTTTGCTAAATGCTGGAGGTTGCTGAATTTGAAGTTAATTCCAGAAGCTAAAGTAAAAGGTGAGCACATCTGAAATCACATACCTGCATCAATGAGAAAGTTAGCAAAAAAAGACTTTTCACTCATTAGGAATTCTGGTCTCTCCTGAAAGAGGGCTGGTGATGAAATTCCTGACTCTGTCGACCACAGTTATAATGAAGTGTGATTAATTTTAAAAGAAGGTAAACAATTTAGTCCATTAGCACTGAATTTAAAAGACAAAAAAAAGGTCATTTTTAGGCAGTCTAGTTTAATTGCTGATGACCACTGGCAATTCTGTAGAATGTTTACATACAGTATTTTATAACCCCCAAATGTGTAACAACAGATGTTTGAATAGAAGACCGTTTGTGAACAAAGTTGATGACCAGGATGGGAATGGGTTTGAGAATCACTGAAGAGGAAGCTTTCAGAGAGGTTAAAATTGGAACTGGGGGCAGAAGGAGAAGAAGGATTTCATATAGTTTATCATTCTAAGCTGGAGTCCTGCTCAGTCCCATCCACTGTTCTGTTATCCTATGCTCAACGTCTCCTCACCTTCAGAAACAGGCTCGTGAGAAGGAAAACACATTCTGACCCTTTAGAACTCAATGTCATCCTTATGAAAGATAGATACATACATACATACGTACATACACACATGTCTTCTTTTGGAATGCTTGAGATATATGAGTCTTTGGCCTTAAATTAAATTGCCCCAAAGAGGTTTAATATTTATTAGAGTTACTTTTTTAGTCTCTTGCTATCTAGTTTGCTCTTTTAATTTGTCTGCTTTTAGCATTCTCCTCATCAATTTTCTGTTGCTTATAGTGGGAAAGCAGATAATCACGCATGTCAACACCTGTTTATTATAAAAATAGACTCTGAGTCAATGCTTAAGGGAGTTTCAGTAAATAAGAATGATGTGTTTTTTATATGTGGACTTAGTGACTGATTTGAGCTTTTAGAAACTAGATTTTTTTGTCTGTCTTTATATTGTTTTGTTTGTTTGCTCATTCTATGTTATGATAAGGTTAATGTATAAATCATATCTGAACTAAGATGAAAATGTGGAAATTATGGCTCAGGAAAATTGAAGATTTTAAAATACAACCACAGAGGTCACTTTCAATTTCCAGATTCCTAACCTTGCTCCTTTGGGATCCAACAAACTGAGAGGTGGACCTTAATTCAGCACCGAAGCAGAGGTGACGATTGCTTCATTGCGGGGTGCTGAGGTGATTAAAGTGGGAATCAGAGAGGTTTCTGTGTTCATCTAAGCTGGCCTGATTTAAACCATTAAGCTGATAATACAAGGGTTTATGGGCTGATACTCGGCAAGGCAAAGCAGCTTACTCCTCATTTCTGGACAGTGTGTCAGGTGAATGAAGGACAAATAGCAACAAAATAAAAAGTCATAAGAGTGTATCTATTTTTATATTTCTGTACTTATTCCATGTAAAGATTTGAATATTGTTGGGGTCTTTTGGGGAGTCTGATTTAAAAATAAAAAAAAGATTTTCTTTTCTACCTGAATTCTGAACCAATCGAAAATCACAGTCGAAGAGTAAAGCATCACAGTATCAATTTGATTGCTGAGAAAGCTATTGTATTAAAGAGCGTGTGAACATAGGAGACTTAATCCTGAAACCCAGTCCTTAACAGACTACGCACCCACTGGATGGTAGATTTGGATATGGGCTTCCCTACAGGGAAAGGATGGGCACTGCAGGCCAAGTTCTCATTCCCAACTCTTGTACCTACGAAGTCAGACAAGCTCCACAGAGTAGAGTGAGTTAGGGAACAGAGAGAGCCAGGAGAATTGGCTAATGATGTTCCCTCCCCATGAAAAAGAAACACGAGGAGTGGAGAATGAGCACCCCTAGGTACCAGAGGTGTGCGTAGATATCTGAAGTCCAGTGTTTGTTGTCTGTCTATGGATGGTGCTTTATATATGCTGTGTCACTTAATTAAAACACTTTACCCCAGCCCAGCCCCAACCCAACCCTACAAACATTGTATGAGTTATTATAAACATGATTATCACCATATCACTGTGAGAAAATGAAGCCTTAGAGGAGTTACTTAGCTTGCTCAAGAGACATGAAAGATAATGAGAAGATCTGAGAGTCAGATGCAAACCTGTCTTACTCTGGAGTCTGTTATTCCCACAGCCAAGTTTCTCATGTCAATAAATCTGAAAATACTTATCCAGGAGCATAAGATTTCTTAATTGAAAATTGTTCTGAAGCTGTGTTGATAGGCATTTGATAATTCTTTGATACAACATTTAGACAATTTAGACTAATTTTAAAGACTTTTTACTTAGAAATCATTTTAAATTTACAGAAAAGATGCGAAAATACTGCAGAGAATTCCCTCATGCCCTTTACTCAGCTTCCCCTAATCAGCATCTTACATGATTATAGCATAATTTTAAAAAACGGGAAATCAACTATTAACTAAACTACAAACTTTATTCCAATTTCACCATTGTTTTCAATATTGACTGAATTTTTTGAGGGCAGTAACTGTGTTATATTCATTTTCAAATACATAGTGCCCACTGTAAGTCTGGTCTAGAGTCAGTCATCAGTAACTCTTTGTGGGATGAGTAAATGAATGAACAGATTTTGAGCTTCATACTACACCTTGTATATGTGTGTACGTGCATGCCAAAAGTTTGGAAGCACACATTGAAGTCTGAAGTTACAATCTGAATGAATGTTATTCAGTGCTGCATTTCACATTAGACTTGGTAAAGCACAGCCCTCTGACATGGAAAAATTGTCAAAAGCCACAGAGAATGTACTGTTTGGACTGAAGGAAAGATACATACATTGGAAGGTACTAACTGGGCAGAAGGCTACGGTATGACATTCATTTTATTACTTGTGTGCATGCATGTACATTTCACACCTCACTTCAGTAAATGTCTGGGCAAGAGGAGCAGCAGTTGCTGGCAATCAGCCTTGTATTCCTGGACAGGTTATAGAAAATCATAGAAACTCTCTTGTTTGAAGAGGAAATCCAAACCAGTGCTTTTAAGTCTTCTATTTTCTTTTGCGCTGAGTTCAGTAGAGATAGCATTAAAGAGGTATGAATCTTGCTATGACAATGGTTTCTGATCATGTATAATCAAAGAAGGTGAAACCAGGAAAGGCGCAATATTCCAAGCACCGAATTCTAAAGCTTAACGGACGCTAAAATAGCCACTCTTCTTTCTGTTTTTCCCATCATCTTTTAACCAAACTGAAAATATTAATGTGACAAAGTGCAAAAAGACAAGAATATGACATCATTCTTAGGCAAAACTAGTATACAAAATTATTGTGAGAACTGATTTTTTTTCCCAAAAATTCAACTTTTAAAAAGTTTTAATTATTTTATTATTGTTATTTAGATGGAAGACGTCATAGCACGCATGCAAGATGAAAAAAATGGAATTCCTATTCGTACTGTCAAAAGCTTTCTTTCCAAGATACCTAGCGTCTTCTCTGGTAAGTTTGCTTTCAGTGTAACATTATTTTCTCCAGCATTTTTCACATAATTATTTAAAATTTATTCTAGCCATTTACTCTAGCCATTTACTGTGGAAATTCTCCATAACTCATTATTCAGTAATTACTTATAAAAACTCATGTCATGTTCAACATCATGTTGGATACTTGAATTGATAGTAAAACAAAGGAAAACAGCAAAACAGATCATGACCCTATCCAAAGTTAGTTACAAAGACAGAAGAGAAACCAAGAAAAATGGAGAGAGAGAGAGAAATGTGTTTTATTTATAAAATAGACATTACAGAACATTTCAAAATATTGAGTAAACTACAGCCATTAAAATTGATGTTTTAAACATAATTTTTAGGCCAAAATGCTACTGTGTGAATCCACTTATATTAATTCAAAACAGGAATGAACACAGTTATAAAACTTATAAAATAAAATCTATGGGAAGGTTAACAGAAATTTCAGGATACAAATATATGTATGTAT